TCCCTACAATCCACAGTGACCCATAAAAATCTTCACTTGCTAATTACTGCTCCACCACCGGGCTGGCAACGAACATCAGCCTGGTGTTCCCACCACAGAGATGCTGGATAAGTGCTGTTGTAGAGCAGTCCAGCCATTGGTTTTGGTCCTAATGGAGGATACAAAACTGTAATCACCACAAAACATCAGAGGACAAAAAGGACACACTTGTCTCTCTCAGCTGTTGTCATCTCCTGATCAGGTCCACCAGTTAAATGCTGATATTTTGTCAGTAGAGCTGTGGTTCTAGATTAAATGGCCTTTGCCAAAGGATGTCTTCTAAAGTCACCTCACCAAATACTTTCTATGAATCAAAGGTATCCAAAGAGTATCTTTACTGGATTTGAGTCATTTATTTAATTTCCATTACAGGCCTTCTCTTCATTGAACCAAAGTGGTTCAAAGACCATTATATGCAACGAGAGTTAAAATGAAGACATCCCACAAAAGGGCAAGCACATGTATCTTGCAACTTGACTGTCTCAGTCTCCACCACAAAGTAACACAAAGAGCAAAGAAGAATTATGAGAACTACCCTAAGAAAGCCAGTCCAGCAGATAGCAATTAATGAGACAGCTTGAAATCCAGCCACTGCAACCACCTAACAAAAAATCTGGAAAGCCCGCAAAATTCTGGAAATACACAATTATTTGGCTGTCAAAGGATCTGGTGCCCATATAGAGATGCTCAGACTGTTGAAAGATAAAATTGTTTTGTATTGGAGGGAATTAAAAAGATCCTGGGAGGAGACAAGCATGTCTGCTGCCTGTGAAAGGGACAGCACTGTGCCCAGTAGAGGTTTGGGTATGATGATCTTAAATCACTAATATCAGTGAGATGAAGAAATTCCTCTTCAGAGACATGAGCAATGGAAATACACCTGTATTTTTAAAAGGCAGTAGAATACAAATCCTAAAAAGTCATCTTTGTAGTTTACAGGGCTTTTTTAAAGCTGACTGAGAGTACTGGTCCTAATTGGGCTAACACTTGCCTACTTGGAGGAGTCTTATAATACAGTAACGACTCACATCAGCAATGACTGCAACAAATGACTCGGAGAGACTCAACACAATAAAAACCAGCTGCTTGATCACCACAAGTTCCTGCAGAGGTGAGTTCTAGGAAAATTCAAAAGGTATATTGTGCCTGCCTAGATAACACAAAAGGTGTCTGCAGCCTTTTCTTGACCACAGCCACCACTAAAAGGCTTGGGCATCTCTAGACCATACCATTTGTTAGAGATGTCCTTTATCTGCACGCATGTGCTACTACCCCAGTCATTTGCCTCTTATTCAAACATGTTCCTCTCTTCCCCTTCTCTCTTTGGGGCTCAAAGTGCAGTCAGCACCCACTGCAGAAAACCTCACCTGTCTTGGGTCCCGTGTGACCCCACTTTCTCATTCTTCATGCAGAAATCAGGTGAGCTCTGGAGGTAAATCAGCTCTGTCTCTTTAACCGGCCTGATATCAATATCCTTTGGCACGAGGTATTTGCGTGTGCCCATGGGCCGGTGAACGACCTTGGTGGCTGATAAATACTTGTTTTTGAGGTCCAGTGCAATGTCTCGCAGCTCTTGAAGGCCTTTCCAACAGGTCTTGATAGAGCATGACCCAGAAACTCCATGGCACTTACATTTCATTTCAAGAGAGGCTTTCAAGACCTGCAAAAAGGAATGCAGGAGTTAGGAAACGCCCTTCTCTTACCTCCAAATATCCCACAAGCTTCCTAAAGAAGGCACTTTCCTAGTGGGGACTGTTGTAGAAAAGGACTGCTGCTCTGATTTCTGCACAGTCACTCTAGAGTAGCTACTGTGCAAAGGGAATGAGATCCCACAGATCCTTGGTGATCATTATCAGCCCAGGACTACTTTCACCAAGGCACCTTTGCAGCCAGCAGACAGAGAGTTATTTTGAATTTTGATCAGATATCTACATAGAGCTGCATTTCCACTCTCTAAATTCCTAACGAGCTGAAAATCAAAGTAATTCATAAACAGATAATTAACATCCATTTCTGCTTCCAGCAGCTTTGTCTGTGGGTAACAGAGATGTCAAGGCTCTGATGAATTTGGGGATACCTCACCCCGCCTTTCTGCTGGCCATGGGACCAAAAGAGCCTTTTACTTTGGTTCTGCACTACTGTCATTTCTGTAGAACCTGGCAAGACACTTCCAGAAAGGGGTGAATGCACCAACCATGGCAACACTATGGCCCAAACAAAAATTTTCCCATTGAAATTGAAACAAAAACTCAAGACAGTAGGAAAATAAAAAGAAACAGATGGGAATGGTGGAGCAAAACACCCAGGGGTGGCAATTTCAGCATGGTTGTGCTCTGCAAAGGTGAATTCAGGCCAGAGCTACATAGTAAGCTGCCAACGAGCTCAACGTACTCCAAGTTTTATCTGCTCCAGGGCTCAAGCACAGGTAGCTCTGGAAGGACCAAGTTGTCTGGTTGGACCAACCTAGGAAACTGCTGCAGCCCCATGGATGGGTACCCCATCTATTTCTTCAGCCACACATAGGGCTGTGATGAGGATTTGTACCTTGGTGGACACCAACCAAGCACTGTGCATGGTAAGCATCATCCCTCTACTAGATGCCAGCCATTAAAAGCAGCTTCTACCAGATATGGGAATAATCACTAGCAAAGCAGTGTGAAAAGGAAAAATCATCCCTCCTGGCTGCGGGGATGGCTGGGAGGCAGCTGCTGCTGGACTCATCTGGCAGATGATAATCCTCCACGTTTACCCAGAACTTGGCATGCACAACACCCTTGGCAGAGCACGACAAGACCCATCCCCACCACACCTCCTGGGGTAAGAAAACCAGAGCCGTCCTTGGCTGTGGAAAGAG